GTGACTGCAGAGGATTCAGTGGGAAATGTCAGATCTGCCTAGGAGGCGTTAAAAGGTTGCTTGTTTATGAAGTTTGAAGAAATGTCTGCTGTTGTCTGCAGAACCAGCACTGACCAGATTTACAGTTATTCTCAACTTTCTCATACATTTTCCCTGTTGGTAACATAACACATAAAGACTATGGTATATAGATTCCTGTCTCCTTTTACAAGCAGTTAAATTGATTTGTTTGACAGAAATAAACAAAACTAAAAATGAAAAAAGATTTGGTTTTTTTTACTTCTGAAACCTTTTTTCAATTTCAAATCTGTTTTTTTCTGTTTCAATTTATTTTTTTGTCTTCTGAACAAACTTCATGGCCCCAATGTAGCTCCATAATTTTCTATCAGAAACAAACTTCTCAATCAAACGAAAACTATTTTCAATGCAAATCTGCAGCCGGTGTGAGAATAATGCTGGACTTAACTGGAGATGTTTCTAAAAATAATTTCATTGAACATTGCGTCGCGTCTGTTCTGAGAACAGGCAACACTCTGTTTGCACAATCAGTTCATCTGCAACTAACTGCCGTTTGACTCCTGGGAGGGAAAAAAAAAAATCCCAATAATTATATCATGCAAAAGAGGAACTGCGCCTTTCACGCAAACAGAGGGAGGTCAGGGATTGGCTGGGGAACAGGTGTCCCTGCTGCCGCCTGGCCTATCGCTGACCTTGAGGGTGGGTGTGCATCTCAGCTGCCTGGCTGCTGCTATTGTCGGCTCACCTGTGTGTGTGTGGGTGTGTGTGTGTGTGTGTGTGTGCTTGCACAGGTGACGGGACAGATAACGAGCGCGGTGCAGACAGCCTGTCTGCATGGAGCAGTCTTCAGCGTACGGCGGCGGCATTCTGGTACTGATAAGGCGGAGGACGTTTATTGTGTGCGAGTGTGTGGACAACGGGAGGCGGCACAACTGGACCTCCGCTTGACTGGGACGAAAACTCGGCTTAAATATGTTCCCTGCTTCCCGGATCACGTGTTTGAGCATTTGGGGAACAGGAGGAAAGTGTTGAATTTGAAAGACAAAACAAAAAACATAGAAGAGTTTATATGTATAATTAGTGATAACCATAAAGTAGTTGAAACCAGATATTTGCATCCAAGCACAGAACCTTCGTTTCCTCAAGGATTCCTCAATCCTGTCAGGAATGTGTTTCACTTTGGACACTAGCAGCATTTCTATTAAAAATGTTGGTAATATTCCGCTAACACAATTGTGGCGTTTCAGTTAAATAACAAACGCAATAAAATAAAGTCACTTTGTTCACGTTTTAATTAATCCAAAACACGCTGCCCCATCATCCTCCTACCACTTCCTGTCGTCTTCTTCGTCTTTTCATTTGATTGTTGATCATGAATTTCGATAGGGCTGAAAAAAAAAAAACACCTCCAGTCTTGCACAAAAAAAAAAAAAAAAATTAAAAATGTAATCAACAAACAACACTCCTTTGAAATCGACGCGTTTTCCTTTTAGCAAATGTATTTTTCTGACATTTCATTGTGAGCAATTTTATGATCCAGTTGCACCTTCTGAAGAAATGTTGAGGACATGAACACAAAGGCGCAACGCTGGAAGAAAATCTGGTAGAAATTGCATGTTGTTGCACAAAGAGGCTTAGATACCAAACGACAAGGCGAGTCAACGACGCCTGCTGGAGAGAGAGAACTTCAGACGTTTTTAGTTTTGTGCGACCTGGTAGCAGATGTGATTTCCCCGTTGCTTTGAGTTCCCAAACTTTTTGTTCAGCTGCAGCAAAGACCAAGGTGACATTTCTGCTTCTGATGCCAGAGCTCTGCTCTGATCGCTGAGTGAGGCTGAGCCAGCTGACCAGCTCTGGCTCTGCAGGGCGGCTGGCCAGTAAGTTCTGCTCAATGTGTGTGTGTGTGTGTGTGTGCGTGTGTGTGTGGTCAGGCTGCGATGGTAGTTAGAGTGGAAGGTGGTCCAGCAATAAAGCCGACAAGCAAAGACAGGGGTCAAAGGGCACGGAAGTGGAGGGAGAGCCAAATCTACTGACAGTGCGAACTTTTAACACACAGAGAGAAGAAGTGAAATACATCAATACTGCTCCAGTTCACTGCGTTTAAGTTTAGATCTTTAGAGTTGATTTTAAAAATTTAAAAAAACTCTGTTTTTTGTTGTTGATTTTTCTTTTTTTTGTTCACCGTTATTGAGTGAACTCAAACGACGAGAATCTGCGCACCAGCTTGTCGTGCTTATTGTCGTCGTTTCTTTGCCGTTTGGGTCATTTGAATATAAAGCATAAAGCAGTTTATGGGCCGCTGAGCAGATGGCCGAGTGTTCAAAATGCCAACGTCACAATTTGCTGGCAGACTGTGGCTGATCGTAAGAGACGCAATGTCCGAGTCCAAAGTTCTGAGGCGTGACGTCACTCTGCTCTGCACAATGTGAAGCGAGAGGGAGTCTTGCTAGAATTCAGGAATACAGTAGACCCAGAAGGCACAAGCAAGCTGGCTTCAGTTCTGAGACGCAGCCTGAGCAAAGCACCACAAAGCAATCCGACACTATCTCCCACCTACACAGCAGGCAGAAGACAAAACAGCGAGTGTGTGAACAATCTGTTCCCTGTTCTTGGTTCTGATGAGCTGTTTCACCGTCTGACGAAGCCTATTGAGTTGCACTGACGCCAAATGTCCCCGAATAATGGGCTTTTCTTTGCCTACCTGTTATCTCTTTGAAGAACCAAACGATCTGAGCAGGAGGCGGCCTCCGGGTGTCAGAGGGATCTGCGGTTGGACATGGAAGTGAAATGATTCTCCATGAAAACAGCGATCACCAAGCCAGAGATTTGATTTAGCTTTTTTTTTTTTGTTCTGCTTGACAAATCTCCCCCTGTATTTACAACAGGGCGTCTGTCATGTTACGTTTCGAACAGATTTGCTCAATTTTTTTTGGATAGTAAACATCTGAACAGCAAATATCAAGTCTTGCCAATGATTTCCCACTAGAAGGATTTGACTGGACCATTCCAACACATAAAGATGGTTTGGCTACGTTTGCGGCGTTGTGGGGAAATTGCGATTTCACAGAACAGATATGCACTCAACACATTCGAATAATACAATTTTTCATGAACCGTGTGACATCCTATCATCCTACTACTTCCTGTTGTCTTTTCCAACACTTTCACCAGTAGTAACTTCCCATCAAACGAGTAGATGCGAAATAGATGCGAAACGCATCTATTTCGACACGACTGAAAAACAACTTTGTTCCAGTGCGAAGACTTTTGAGTTTCTTCTAAACAAGCACATTCATTATCGTAACTTCAATTTGCGCGACTTTACGGTTAATGGGACCGCAGCCAGTGTAACCTCTGACCTGCAGGAGCTCTTTTTTTGCAGCCTCTACCTTTGGTCAGCACAGCATCTTCCCTGCAATTGCTAAAGAAGAAGCTGTATGAATCCTTGCACAAGGCAAGGACAAAGTTTTTTTTCTTCTTTTTTATGTAAGTTGGTTCACGTTTTGTGTCAAAACAGCCGCAGTTGAGCCACAACTGGTCTGGATTGGATGCTCTTCCTAAATCACTTGCAGCCACTTGCGCCTGCTGTCATGAGTTCACACATCTTTGTCCCGATCAAAGGCAGCCGGCGACGGTGAGAAATTAGTCAGCGGTCACCCGGCACTCTGAGTCCCAGCAGAGACTTCTTAAGTAATGTTCGGAGAGCAGCTGCAGCGGCTTGTTCAAAGTGGTCTGTCAGCAGCAGCAGCAGCGGCGGCAGCAGTGGGGGCTCTTAACTTCAAACCCTCTTCCTGTTGATCTTTCCTCCACGCTGGAAGACGATCGCCACAGAAAGCCACCAGTGAAAAAGTTCCAATGTTTTCACCGCGTTTTTTTTTTTTCCATCCTTTTTAATTGGTTTTGATTTATATTTGACGACGCAAACCAAAACTTGGAAACAAGCACGCATTCTTCTGTTTTTATTTTCCCACGTCCTGTGAAGTTCTTGGGCGTTTTCAGTAGATGGGCTTCAGTGTCAGGGCACCAACAAAGTCTGCACAAAGCACACAGGCAGAAAAAGAAAATGGCGCTTATTTGAGGCTCCCTTTATAAACTCATTCCTGTCCAATAAAGTTTGTTTTGTGTTCAAACACAGAACATAACCTCTCTGTCTGTCTGTTGACGCCAAACCTGGACTTTTTGACGCCGGAGGACAGCCAGCTAGCAAACAAGCCAGCAATGTGCTAGCTTCAGGAAGTCATGTTAGCATGCTAGCTCGTTCGTCTCAAGGTGACGAAATGTAAAGGTGGCCAAAAGTATATAAGTGACGTCAGTGTTGAATGTTATTTTAATAACCTGGTTAGACGTGGCTCCATGTTTGAATACTTTTTCAAGCCGTGGTAGCAAAGGGTTATGATTCCAGTTGCATTTTTTTTTTCTTTTTTTTACATTTCTTGCAAAGCTAATGTGACACGACACATCACGAAACCTGTGTGTACAGTGGCGGCACTGTACACAGCCATTACCGGTGATTATGTTGATTATGTTGGTCCTTGTGTTTTCAGGAACCAACAGCTGCGTAATGGATACAGGCAGCAGCTGAAATTGAAATCCGGATTTCAATTTTGAGCAACGTTGCGCTGATGCAGCATAAAGCCCTCCACGGATCAGCGACAGGCCCGCTTTAATTGAATTAACTGGGGTTTTAGACAACAGAGTGGCCGAAGCCACGTGCGGCGTTCGCGTTACGCCCAGGCAGTTTGTCTGAGCGGCAGTGAAATCCAACTCTCTGTGTGGCGGCTACATTTAGACCAGGAAACACGGGGTGAGCGGTTCAGCGGCTGTAAAGGATTGAAAGGCTGGAGACTGACTGAGTGGGAGCCACTTAAACAGGTCATTATCGTGACCCCATTGAGCCACAGGGTCCTGCCATTCATCTGCTGCTGCGGGAGAAAAACAGAAACCACACAAGACGCTGGGCGGGTTTAGTTTTTCTTTTTTTTTTTAATGGAATGTATCTTTTCGAGGTATGAAAATAAATCTCCGTGGAAATAAGAAATTGGACAGTGGTTCCTAACAGTGCGGAATGATGAAAACGGGAAGGCATGTCGGGCCGCGTCAGATAAAGGGCACGGCTCTGGCCCTGTGTGGAGGATGACAGCAACACAGAGGCATGTGCCGGATTAACTGTGGTACGCTGGTGAGCGGTGGGAGACCCGCCCAGGAAAGAGGAAACGTCACGAGCCACAGCGAGATAAAATACGTCCTGCTGGAAGCACAGGACATTTCTGAAGCCTCTGATTGAGACGTGGCTCTGACTGTTGCTCTGCACCGCCACCTTAACATGCGTCAGTACGTTTTCGTACTCATAGAAACTCTCCCGTGCCTTCAGTCTGTTAAGCACAGAAGTCTTTCCAAACATTCAAAAACTGAGCTGTAACAGAGACTAATTTGGATAGTTGTGTCCTTCTTTTCGCAATCACTCAAATCTTACATTTTTATTCGATGGTCGCTGTTCTGTTATTTGAGTCATTCAAAAGCCATCTGGATCAAATTATGAGTAATCAGTATATTGCTACTTATCAGCATGAGGCAACTTGAAAGATGGTGTAAAGAGGTTAAATTATAGAGAGCAGGAAAACTTCTTCCTGTTGTAACCGATCAAAAAAGCAATATTATAGAATGATTTTGTCATCTTGTATTATGATGCTGTTATTTAGGATCCTGTCACACCAGGAGTGCTATGAAGCAGAGTTAGCACACCGATTTGAGGAACCGGCACCAAATAGTTGGCAAGCTAAATGTTGGCTGGCTAGGCAGCAATTTGCTTTATAGCAAAATGGTTCTACAAATGCAATCCGTTCAAAACCAAGTGAAATTTGCCCATCGCTGTGTTTGTTGTTAAGGCTAATGGCATTGCTGGATAGAAAATTGCAGTCCAAGCTAATAGCTTTTAGCGTAGTATTTGGCCAAACAACCAACAGCAACACTGTCAAAAAACAGCTTGTTGGACAATACAGATTGTCACTCAGATTGTTGACAGACATTTACTGGTAAGCTACCAAATCAAACAGCTAGGATGTTAGATTAGCTGGCTGCACAGCTACGTTCTGAAAGAAAAACAAAAAGTGACAGTTTCATAAATAGCAAACTTTGCTCAATTGCCAATTCTTACCCTATTGTGTATTCATGCACCACTATTTTGAAGTTTTACTCTTTCATGTCGGACCTAATCACACTCTTGTGTTTGAACAATTCATTTTTTTAATTAATACTATGAGATAGCCAAGAACAAGCTAATTGGAAACCTTTGATTTACCAAGTCAAAATTCCAACTTCAGCCTACAACCCGAACGCATCGCTCAGACGCTAACTTATTTCAATAAATTCCTAGTTTCTATAGCTGAGAAAACGAGCTTTGGCCAAATCTCCCAATCAGAGGAACAACAAGCCTCATGACATGACAACTATTTTGCTGATTGTGACAATTCTGGTGTAGTTCTGATCAGTCGAGGTCTAACTGCATTTAATTTGATGTTATGTTTCCACTAAGATTTAATCCAAGCATTGAAATGGTCTCTGAAGCAGCTCAGTTTTTAAAATGTTCACCTTAACTCTATTGTCCATGGTTAAAAAGCCAGAGTACACCCATCACTTAAGAACATAGCAACAGCTTTCCCTTCAATTTACAAATGTAGCGAAATAAAGTTGCGGAAAGCCATCGAAGCACACAATGGAAACACTAAAATACACCATCGAAATCAAGCATATAAAAACAACCATCAATCCGCTGAGCGCGATCATTTTCTCGATCTGTACATGTTTAGTGAAGTGAGAGGAAACACTGTGCAACAAGAGAAATGTATCAAATGAGTCTTTGGCTCTGTTAGAAAATAAAACCAGAAGCATTGACACGTCTTATCCATAAGGAGCTGGTTCAACTAACACACAGCATCCACCCTGGGGAACGTTGAGAGAACGCTCCCTAAAAGCCACAGGAAGGAGCGGCGTGTCGCCGGGCCAGACTTCCCTCATCATCGTCTCTTGAAAGTTTCAGGCTTCGTAACCTTTAGGGAACGTCACCAAACGTTCCCTCGAGGTTCCAGTCTGTTAGATAGTCCAAGTCGACCGAATGCTCACCTCCAGTGACTCTCACACTTGACATTCAGACTTTTTTTTTTCTTTTATATATATATAGATATATATGTATAAAAAAATATATATACACATCTAATAAATAAGGGACGAAACCCATTGCACGGTAGAATACAGATGTTTTCTCACATGCTTTTTGTCCATCAGTCTTTTGTGAAGCAAGTCTCTGTACTGAAAAGAGGAGTGGGGGGTCAAGGAGGGCTGGTGTGTGGAGACCACATCATGACTTGGGGTGTGGGGTGTTCAGTTCTCCTGGACAATGGAGCTTGGTGAGGCAGCAGCAGGGGGAGATGAAGCCTGGGTTCATTGTCTTCCTCGGCTGAGTGTCAAATTCACCTGCAGATAAGAATCAATTAGACTGACTGTGGTTTGCAGAGAGAGGCAGAGGAAAGGGAAAACCCCACTCTGGGCACAACAATAGAACCGCTTTTACAGTTACAGAGCAAAGGTAGGCGTAATTACAAAATCCATAGACCTAATGACCATAGATTAAACTGCTGATCTCAGTAGAGCAGAGCAGACAAAGGCTATTGTGAAACTACAAAACTTATTGGCAATAGTTGTGTCTGATATGGTTTTCTACATAAAAAAACAACCACCTCAACTCTAGGTGGTTTGAGCAAGGAGTCACACCTCTTTCAGGAAGGTTGATGTCTCCAGCAGGGGTCATGCCCACAGGTCAGCAGGGAAACAACCACAATGACGCCTAGCAATGTGTCTCATAGGAATGTGAAGATCTGACACCTTTTTTGCTTTAAATAGTGGAAATACACAGAAATATTGTGCCCATCTGATTAGCTGCTAACTGGCATTCCACCGCACTTAGTACTTATTCATGTTTCTAAAAAAATAATTTTAAAAAAAGAGCAATGCCATCTGTCAAGAGATAAGGAAACATAACATTGTGGAGCTTTACTTCTAAAACTCTAAACTATCACTTTGTGCGTTAGCCTTTCTAGTCAGTGAGAATTGGCGCCCCCTTGTGGTGAGTACAGTTTTTAGGAAGGATGAGTTGCATCTAACAGCTCTAGTTCAGCTAACACTAACAACTAACATATTTAGACTAATTGAACTTTCACTGAATTGATTAACTTTCTGAATTTTTTTTAGAACATATTTCAAGATTTTTAAAACGTTATGTCTCTGATAAGAATGAGATTGCTTAGTGAAAATATTCACTAAGCAGAAAACTTTTGTAAAGATGAAAATTAGACATAAGCAAATAAGCAGCTGCTCAGGGTCCCCCAAGCCAGCAGGGGGATCCAAGAGCCCTTAAGCTCCAACAGACAAACACCTTGTTTTGTTGTCAATTGTACTTTATGGAGAACAATAAAAAATGTATGAACATCAAATTATCCCATAAGTAAAGGGGAAAATAATTTTATAGTGATGTCATTAGAGTCAGCTAAAAACAGCTTGTGCTGTGCTAGCTGGTGGGGCCTTGAATCAAATCCAGCCCAGGGCCCCCCTTTAACTTTAAGGTCGGCCCTATTTGAAAAACAAAATTGGGCCGATGTGGCGCTTGAACAGACTTCCTGTTTAAAAAAAAACATTCAACACAACTGATTTCTATTTTTACTGCTACACACCGCCACTGAAGTCGTGTTAGAAGCTCACAAATCAGCTGCTGCCACAGAAAAGCCACGTGTGTGGAAATCTGAGTGGAGCAGCCAGAGCTGCACTACATCATGGTGCAAATTTGGAAGTTATTCTCCGCAGCAACACCTCAGGAGCTCCTGCGGTTTCAGTCACTAACTTGGCCTCCAGCACTTTTCATTTGTAAGCCGTTTCAATAAATATCTTTTAGACTTTTTTTTTTTTGAACAAGTATTAAATTGAGCCAAAAAAAGCCTTTCTTGTCATTTATAGTATGGCATGCCTGCTTCTTGTTTAGTTCCGCTTCCTCCCGGTATCTTACCGCTGAAGGCGCGCCGGTGCGTGGGTTTCCCCCCGCGGGTCACGCCACGCTCGGGGCACTGCGGACGGTCTTCTGCCCGGGCATCTGCACGACGAGCAGCTGCTGCTTCTGCCGAGTGGACTTGACGGCCAGGATCGCCTGGCGGTTCTTGTACTGGACCATCTGCAAGGTGATCTCCGCGTTCCAGCCCTCGTCCTGCGGGCACCTGAAGTCGATCTCCTTCCCCTCCGTCATGACAACGGTGAAGTAGACGTACTTGCCTTTCCGCTCCACGCAGTCCACCGTCTTCATGTTGGCGAAGTGGAGCTCCTTGACTCTGCCCGTGTCGCCGCCGCCGCCGCCGTGCTGCTGCTGCGGGTGATCGTGCTGCTTGGGCGGCAGCAGCAGCACGCCTTCCTCGGTCAGGACGCAGTGCTTCTTCTTCCAGAGCTGCAGCAGCCCGTCGCTCCGCTTCTCCAGCAGACCCTCCTTGTACACCTTCCTCCCGTTCTCCAGCATGTTCGGCCGACCGCTGCGGACCTCCAGCCTGACGGACTCACGGACGCTGCTTGATCGACGGCGCTCTATCCCGGAGAGGCTGCGGGCATGGGATGCAGCTGCGGCTGCTGGATGTGGAAGGAGCGCCTGACTCGCAGTCTGCCTGCCGGTCACTGTTTGCGGAGCGGCTTTTGGGGGCGGGAGGGGTCTGGAGAAGTGCACCGCCCCTCTGAGTAGAGTGAAGCCCCCCGAGACCATGGAAGCCCGGTCATCAAGACTCCCCTTTATACCGCACAGCGAGACCTCCATCTTCACTCCCCTGAGATTTGTTTTTTGCTTGTCTTTTTAAAGTTTGCAGGAGAAAATTGACTTTTTTTTTTTACTACAATTTTGAATCCTCGAGGATGTTTTCCATCCATCCATCACTAGTAGTTCTAATCTACCTCACTTCCACCATGTCGAGTTTATTGCATCACTGCTGCCTTTTCTGACGGTATATTTTCTGGTTGCTGTTATTGGTCATGTTCCATTTCCAGTGCAAACCTCTCAAGAGTTCATGAAGTGCCCATGTGTTTGAAATACAGCACCGCAGCGCCCTCTGGCGGGATGTAGCGCGAAAAATAAATACAGGGGCTCAAGATTTTTCTTACTGTTGTTTTTGATATATATACTTACAGCGATTTCACTCAAATTTGACAACTGATTTAGAGCAGCTTTCCTTAAAGATTTTGTTCTTTTAATATATTGGTACTGATCTTTACAGCTTCCACATCTCTAGTTTCTGTACTAAATATTCCCACAGTAAACTTTATGCAAAGGTAAATAAATGTGGCCAAATTGGGGACGAAAATGTTTTTCAGTGAATCAACTTACTCTATTAAGAAATTTCTCTATCATTGTTGAAAACTGAAGATTTTCAAATAAACATCTGAGAAATAGGTGTCTGTCAGAACATTTTTCATTCATTTCACTATCGAGACTAATTTCAGACAGCAATTCAATTGCATTTTTTCTGACATTCCGATGAAAATGTCTGTTCATTTTCCTGAGCCGTTAAGCACCAAGTATTTTTTCTGCTCCAAAAAATGTTGCATTACATCGTCTCCTTGGTATAAAAGGTGGCACCAGATTAATAGCAGTAATCAAATTTTCTTCCATGAGACAGGATAGATGTTGGAATGTTAACTTTAATCAGCGGTCATCAAATCTTTCCATGAATGGTACAAAACGTCCTGTAGAAGGCGTCACCATTTCGTCCCCAAATAAGTTCAGCAATAGACGATTCACATTCACCATGGATCAAGGTGTGTTCATTTCATGGTTTAAAATAACTTTTTATAATTTGCCAAAAAGTTGTGGATTCTTGACCTGACCCAGAGCTTAAAGCAGCTAATTTGTCCCAGGAGAAATGGAGGCAGCAAACATTCTAGATCTTCCTGTGAGAAACAACCTGCTCCATCCACTTCCCCATTTCCTTAATTGTGGGCGACCGCTGATTGATTTGATTGTTAAATCAATCTCATCTACCTCCGCATCGACCCAAATCGGAATCGGCAGGTCATGCTTTTAAAAGATCGGCCATAAAACTAACGGTGTAACTCTGATACAGATATGAGTAAAGCAGTTCAAAAAATGTCGTTTTTCTGCTTTACCATATGGGAAGGCTGGATGAGCAGAAGGGCCTTAAGAGATGGGATCAAATGGATCCCTGTGTGTGGTTCAGTAGGGTCACCCCGAACACCTTTACAGAGTCTGACGGGACAACCCACCCTTGTTTCCACCTTGTCCGACCATGACATCTTCTATGGTCTTCCTTAGCATCATGCTAAAAAGTTATTGTTTGTTTTTGTTGAACCTACAGAAAAGACTCAGTTTGTATGCTTCAGCATTTCAAAATCAACAAGAAATCAATTTATCTCTAAATATTCCCTTTGTCATTCATGATGCCAACAAATGGATCTCCAAAGAAAAAAACAAAAAACAAAAAAAAACAAGAGACATGTTTAACCAATTTATTCAGGAACATACACGTACAGGTATTGAGTACATTAGTATTTTTATAGCATAGCATTTCGCCTTGACAACAGCTGCTCAGGAGTGACCGTACATTGGCCCAGTCGTATCTTCTCTCAATGAATATGATGTGAATGCTCCCTGCAGAATAAGAGATACCCCCAGCTTTCCACAGAGGACACGGTAAGGTCCAACACAACCAACATCTGAAGACACCAGGATGGTGGCAGGCTAGGATTTCTCTTCATAGTCCCTTCTTGGCTTTAAGTATTGCTCTGACATACTTTCTGTGGCATTCTTGGTAGGAGAAAATAAAAAAAAAAAAAAAAAAGGAAGAAGGTGGAAGCAGGGACGGAGGAAGGTCATTGGCCAAAACGATGGCCGGGTGAATTCCCCCCTTTCACAGTGAATTAAATAAATGTACAAAGGACTTCAACCGCTGGGCTTTAGTCTGGACAAGTTGGCGACACAAGAGGTCAGGGTGATGAACAGGGGATAGTAGCAAGGGTAGGTGACTCCAACACTTTGCTCATCCCCTGTGCTACATCTGCCCAAAGATTTGATAAAGCTTCTGAAAATGTGCCTCTTTCTGTAGGAAAGGAAATGCACTAAAAAAATCCACAGAGCAACAACTTCTGCTCTCCAGAGCGTCATTACCTGCCCATCTTCCCCTCTGGTCCTTTTAGACAGAGTGACAAAGTGCTGCTTACAAGGAATACTCTGCTAACTGATGACGCGACACCACTGGCACACCACACACTAGTACAAAGTGCAATATAATAGACGACAGCCACGCCACAGCGAGCCTAAGAAAAGCTGTATCACAAGGTTATGGGACAGGTTGCCAAGTCCTTACTCAAAAGAAATCCCTGGAATGTTCGAGAGATTCAACTGGGCTTGTGCCGAGCCCTAGGAGCAAGGAGGTCAACACAAGCAATGGGGGTTTATCTATTTTAACAGTCCGTCCAGTCGAACAGCGCCAGACCAAGAGGTTCGTCGTTGAGCCAGTCTGCTTACTGGAATGTATCGAGAGGGAAAACCTTGAGGATGAGCCGCTTCTGGTAGGCAGACAACTTTGGCGTCCGTTTTGGGGAGAAATAGTAAAAGTTGGGCAAACGAGAATGAACACCCAAGTTGCAGGTCCTGTGTTTGATGTTGGCAATGCTACAGTGCTAGTTCAAGTGCGTTCAAGGCGTCATTAATAATAAGAAAAAAAAAACACCTGGGACAGCCAGAACCAACTAACCTGGACATTGGTGGAAAGGGGGGGACAACAGGAAGGGGATGGGTGTGGTGTGAATTGATGCCACTACGTTGCAGTCTAAACCACAGCTGTTGTCTAAGAGCAAACACATCCAAAAAACTTCACAAGAACCCAAACTAGTTTAGCGGTGAAGAAACAAGGTCATGCTGTTTGAGGGCGACAGTTTCCTGTCGTCTAGCTATTGTACAGAGAAGGACGAGGAGGAAACAGGTCTAGTAAAATATCATGTATATTGAGCCAAACAGCTCGCAGTATATTACCACTGGTTTCGTAACAAAAATCTGGAAACTTTTTCTTCAAATTCCCTACCAAGAAAAATACAAAACATTATAAGGCGATAAGTAACTATTTTTTTAAATTTGTATGTTTTTGTTTTGTTTTTTTTTCTTCCTTTTTTCTTTTTTATTTGAGAAGCAAGTACAGTGCAGTTGATCCTCATCGCAGCCAGGCAAGGACTCACTGTTGCCTGCACTCAGCTGGGGGGGTTCCATCCTTCTGTAACAAATCACAACAGGGTGGGGTGTCAAGACCACGCCTCTGTACATGGGACAGTAAGACAGCCTACACATGAAGCCATGGTCAACAAGCAGCTGGAAGCTGTAGAGGTCACACTGCCTGAAGGACGGTCATGGTGAGCAGCGTCTATTTGGCTTGTAAGAACTTGGTGTTCTGATTCGGGGCTTTTCAGACCGATGAGGACACTCAGTGAAAGAACTATATCGGCAACTAAAGTCCTTCAATGGAAACGTATTCAATGGATTTTTTTTCTGCTACTACATCACAAAGTTTTGATTCTTTTTATGCAAGTGGTTGGGCATCAATACAAGATTGCTCTTTACAAGGTTCTAAACATAAACCATACCATGTCCCATCTTGCAAGGTCCTCAATAAGATTCAAGTCTGGACTTTAACTGGGCCACTGCGTTACTTTATTCTTTTCAGTCATTCTGCTGTGTTTAGCATCTCTAACGCTAGAGAGGCATTCATGTCTGGCCTGGTGGCTGAGGAGCATCAGGTCAGGACTTCTAGCATCCTAAATCCTTTGGAGGCAAAACAAGTCCCGATCATCACTCGTCACCACTGTGACGAGTGATGATCTGGTATGATGCCACTAACATGCAGTGTCTGGTTTGGACCCTGGTCACTTGGCCTCTTCCTCATTCTGTATAATGGTGTTAAAAGAAGCAGCCTGCCTGTTTTACAAACAATTTAAAGCCCCCAAAATTCCTTTGATGGGCTTCATTTTTATTAAAATTTTCACCATGACTGTCGACAGAAAAGTGCAGAATCTCTGCATTAATTTTTTTTTATAACTGGGTACATTTAAAAGCTGACAAATCAAAATTTTCTGATTTCTCATAAAAATACAGAAAATCTATGTTTTTACTCAGATAAAACTACAATCGAGGTCAAAAACAATCCTCCAATTCTGCTTGTAGCTTATTTGGTCAATGTGACGCAGCAGCAGAAACTAAACTTGAAATCCTTTTCACATCTCAGGATACAGAAACCAAGAATTCCCAAACAGAACTAATGTCCCATAACACTTTGGTTTGGGTATCTGTGCAATCAGCTCTGACAGCAATGTAATTACTTTTTTAAAATCTCATTATGGAAAGCACATGATTACTGCTGACTAACGTCTAATTCTCAGGTTAACATCTTAAGGTGACCTGAAATAATTTAGCCGTCATGTGTGACATTAAAGCAGATTAGCATGTAGCGTAAGACAACAAATGACATGTTAATGGGCAGTCAGACACCAAATACTTTGTCACATTTATTGGCACCCCTGGTTAAGATGTGTATACAGCATTCAGATTAAACTTCAGTAGCAGAAGCACCATCTCACTGTGCAGGTTTCATCAAGTCAAATTTGAGACTTTAATACGACGTTGAATAAAACTCGAGATCAAAACTACAACATAGGAGATGGTTAGCAGATCCTTGTCTATTGCACTGAGGCTGGGAACAAAAGCAAACCAGTGACAAAAACCGTCAGTCAGCTGCTGATAAATTTGGATTTACCAATAATAGACGGGAAAAAAAGCTAGCTAGTTAGCAAAGGTATGATAGCAGATACTTAGAACTTCATCCACCTCATTACAGAATGAAGAGGTCTGCATGTTTTTAAAGACCAAGTCTTAGGGTCTATGGACACCTTCTCCAACTTAGGAAAATTAGATTTTTACTGGATGCTTGGTTTGTGGACAAGAGTCATGGTCAGTCCATTTTGTGTTGGTTTGATCATGATCCTGGTACAAAAGACCCAGCGGTGATCCATTAGTGCGCGTTTGCGGTCAGAGGCCACCAGATTTTTATTTACTCATATTTTGACTAGTTCATGACGCCAAGCAGTCTAATAAGGTTAAAAAGGACAAATCACAAAATGAAAATTTAAAAAGTGACAGATTGCACAAAGTGTTGGGCAGCCTCGTTTTCTAAAGCCAGTTTTCTACATTTTTTTTTTCAGTGAGATGACGCTATTGCAATAAAACATTAACTTCCAGGTTTGTTTTTGCTGCACATCTTTCATGGGCACCAACAAAATGGAATTGGTGGTCACCTACAACCTTTCTGGGTGTTTGTGGAAACCAGAATTTCACCACAGCAAAAACAAAAATAAGCAAACAGGAGAGGAGAGGGCTGGACAAGATTCAACACACAGAAATGGTACAGGTGTAAATGCTGATCTCATGGGTTAAACAAACAAAAAAATAAAAATTAAAAATAAAAATTAAATCCAACAACAAACTGGTGGATTAGTACTTTTGGTCAAGTGCAGGACGGCGGCGGAGGAGCGGGAGGGGAGTGCAAAGAGACGGCGGATGGAAACCAAAAGGAGGAAAGCCATATTTAAAACAAAAATAAATTAATTAATAAAGTGGCAGGGTGGTGGGCAGGGAAGGGGGGTTTGGGGGGGGTTGATGGTAGTAAGCTGACAAATCGCAAGCTGTACCTACCAGGATAGGGTTATTTGTCTATAGTCACCATTTAAACCTAGTGAGGAAAAATTTAAAGAGTAGCTGACAAAAGATGCAAGTAACTGAAGATGAAAAAACATTAATGAACAGGAAACAAATCTAAAGCACAACCAGCAGAATACAAAAGACCTTGGAGCTCAGGAGCAAGCAGAGATAAGAGCTACAGAAAACGGATCAGAGCCGTGAAGCATCCCTGCAAACTGCCTGCTCTGTACAGAGCTACACCAGCCATTGGTTTGTTTCAACCATTAAAATATAAAACCCAGAATTCAGTTTCTTAGAAAAATAAGCAGTTCACATCACTGCTTAATTTTGATGGAAAAATGAGTGGAAGGAAAAAGTGTGGTAGAAAATGTGAGGAAAGGATGAACGTTAGAATTTTTCCCCAGGCACTGGATCTCAAGGACAATTGACAATTTTTTTGAGATTCTAATTTTCTAACAAACTGAATTTTGGGGTTTCATTAGCTGTGAGCTACGATCATCAGAATTATAAAAAAAAAATCTCAAAATGACATAAAATCAAAATAATTATGGAAACAAGACAGCACTTCCTAAATCAGACAACATGGACATTAAAAATTAATTTTAAGGATTTTGGATATGAAAATAGTGCTAAATTGTAATTGTTCAACATTATGCAAAGGAAATATATATATATATATTAAAAAAAAAATCAACTTTAGCACTTACAGAACTAACCACTTAAAATACACCAACTAGGATGACTTAAGCCTTACACTTCCTATTTAAAAGGATACTAGTCATGTTATTTTTATCATTTTAGTTTTGGCATGCAGCATTCAGTTTTAAGCGACTCTTAAAAAGATGAAATGCAGAGGAGGAAAGAAAAAAAAAAGCTTTTATATTCATGTCTTTCAGAGGGAAACCACAGATAAAGTGGTTGTGAATCAGCTGAATTTGACAGTGTATTCTGTATGCTGAGATCTGAAAAGTGTTGGGAGGACAGCTGTTCTCCTGCTGCGGCTCAGGACCCCTGAGGAATGTGAAAAGTGCACTGCAGCGAGATCGGGTGCAGCGCTAGCTGCGGCTAGCCTTCTGCCTGGAGCGTCCTGAGCCGACAGCAGGGAACTGCTGAGCAAGGTCTTTTCTCAGGACACCAGAACTCTTTAGAGGAAGTCATCACGGCGTGCTCTCGCGAGCTTACCTTGGGGTCGTAGTCGGGGTCGTTCTCCTCGTCGGCCTCCTCCTCGCCTTCCTGATTGGAGAGAAGCAGCTTTACGTGAGCAACTCTGCTTCAGAACTCGCCTCATTTCAGCTCTTTAACACCATGTTTACCTCATCATCTGCTTCTTCACCCTCTTCATCGTACTGGAACGGGAGAAGAAGAAGAAATGCTTTAGATTCAGAGCCGTGCAGCTACAATAAAACCAAAAATCTTTTACCGTGTTAAAGGGTAAAGGTTGGGTGATAAATTGATTTTATCAATTGATCAAATATTTTGGAAAATTTAGATTTTTTTTCCCTTTCTTTTCCCCCCCCCCACTACCAATTCACTTGTGGGGTTTTCTATAATTCAGAGTGATGAGTGCAGCCAGGGCGGCCATCTTGTGTTTTTGATTTCAGGCCAATGATGAAAGTATTAGAGAAAGGCTTTGTCTTTATTTTTAATTACAAAAGAAAAGTCATGCAACAATAAAGTCAAAATAAAAGAATAAAGTCTCAATAAAAGCATAATAAAAATTGTAATTTTATGAAAAGCCCAAAAGTTAAAATAAAATAAAAAATTAAAATGAGGAATATTGAGCATCTTGTCAAGTTGTACTTTGGTATAAATTTTAATTCTTGTCTTTAAAAATTCTTACAGCCTGGCCCTGATACTCCGTCGACCAACTCACAGAACACATGAATGAAATAAAAGCCACTTTTTGGAAATATTTTCTGTCATTTCTTGTTAAGAAAAGAAAGCAACCAAAACTATTATGTACGTCTGATGTAATATGAAAAGAAACAAAAGTGCGAGGTTTTATTTTTAAGTCTTTTGGCCCAGTCCTGATGGAGAGAACACTCACGTCATCGTCGTCGTCCTCTATGGCCTCGCCGGTGAAGTAGAGCACGGCGCGCGGTACGATGCGCTCCCGAATGAAGTGGCCGATCTCGAAGTCTGCTGCCAGGATCGCCTCGGAGTCCTCGTCCTGAAGACAAGCGCTCAATGTCTCGCACTCCAAACAATAGCATCACCGATGCTGGATAGACGACGCGCTGCAACACTTACCAGCTCTCCGTTTTCTGGAACTGCATATAAACAAAATAAAAAGGCGATGTGTGAAGCCACCAGAAGCAAAAAAACCATGAGCGAATTTAAAAGCCGCCTCTGACCTTCAGGCGGGGTGAAGAAGTTGAAGAAGGAGTCGTTGGGGACGGTCTTGGTGACAGTCCTCACCGTGCCGCGGCCCTTGTGCTTCTGCTTCTTCTTGATTGTTTTCAACGTGACGTTCTTTCCCTTTGTCCAGTCGATCGTGCATCTGTTGGAAGAAAAAACAAAAACCCTAAACAGTAAAACACAAAGCATTCTTTGCAAGAATCAAAAGTAGGAGCGACTGCTCACCCGACGCAGCTCATGATCTCCGGCCCGTCGAAGGAGAACGGGTCACTCTCATCCGGTTCCGACCTCATCTTGTAGGTTTTTGATAGCACTGTGTTTGTGAAGAACTCGTTGGGTTCGAAGTGGAACTCTAATGTGAAGCTCTGAAGAGAGAGACAGAGACCACAGATATAAACAAACAAAAAAAAACATAGCATTTCACTTCCTGGTTTTAACTGTCTAAATAAAGATTACTCACCATTGGCTGTCCCGGATCGGAGAACTTTACTTTAATATCTTGTAAATGTTTTAGAACGGGCTCGTCGTGCTCCTGAAAGAGGAAATGATGCAGTTTAGTGGACCATCAAGTCTCTGCCAGCAGGTGGCAGAAAACCATCATATTTGCACGGTTTGTGACCCATTTTCCTGTCTGTACCTGCAGCATGTCGCTGAGCAGGTCCACGTTTTTGAATACTGTTAACCAGAACTCTGGGATGCCTTTGGGATTTTCCTTCTCTTCATCCTTCTTCTCTTCCTCCAACTTGGCCTTCTCCTTCATCTCATCCTGAACCAGAGAGGAAAAAAAAACACGACAGAACAAAGCATTGACAAGCCTCTCGTCTTCATTGATTTGTGACTGGATTGAAGGGAGACAGGAAGCATGCGGCTGTATACGTCACCTGTACCTGCTTACTTACTGTCAGCTCTTCCTCTTCATCGGTCTTCCACTCACATTCTTCGTCTGTGGGCTCGTAAGCTGCTGTCACTATCTCGCTTCTCTGCAAAACAAAAGCCAGGAAGAAGACGTTAGCAGGTGTTGGGAGCATAACTAGTTGTAGTTTCAAGTAAACTTGTTTCCTGTTTAGGAGGAAACTTGTGACTTCAGGCCTGATTGTTGAATTTGGTCAGGATTTACTGGTCGATTAAATATTCTAATTTTCTTTGAGAAAATCTGAATATTTCAAATCAACGTGGTGTTTTTCCTGTTGACTAAAGCACAGAGGTAGAACTTTTTGAATAATACTCATTTTTACTTTTACATGAAAGCTTCTTACATTTAGCTCAAAACGGTGCAAAACAAAACAAAAAAAATGTTTTGGCTTATTTATAAATAAAAAATGGATCGAGTTGGAGGCATTTATTGTCAAGGAAGAATGAAAATTCCTCAGCATTTGAAGCTGATGCTTTTCATGTGATTTCAGGAGTTCTTGGTGCAGCGCCACTCACAGGCGAGGGGTTGAACAGATTTCTCAAAGGGTTTGGCTTGTTTGACAGTGCAAAGTGAAGGTGAACCGCAGCAGATGAAAATGGAACAAATGTTGCAACTTTGGTTTCCAATCAAACCGAGTCTCCAGACCCGCTGAACACAAAGCTATGGGTTCAGCAACGCCACATGTGAAGAGAGAAACCAACTTACTTTGTCAAAGAGGGGCTGGTAGAGCGCTGCGTACTTTCTCTCCAGTTCATGAACTTCTTCATAGAACTTGGCTTCGATGTGGGCACATTTGACCTGCAGGTTCTTCAAAGCATTCACACGTCTCTTTACGACCTTCGGTAAGCTGTGGGGAGCAGAAAGGTGGTGTGAGAAGTCAGCATTTATTTTATTGAATCATTTAAAGAACTTTTGTTACCTTACTACCAACTATTTTCTGGTGAAATTCTACAGATTTAATAAAATATATATATTTTTTTTTTTAATAAATTCAGCCATCTGGAACAAAGCAGGTCACTCCACAAACAATATGCTAATGTGTTGCTAACATTTACAACATAACATTGTCACCTTTTGGTTTTTATGAAACAACCTGCAGAAACATTTACTGTAATTACAGCTGCTGTTCCATCAAATCCACTTTGTGGCTGGAACATGAAAAGAACCAGGGAGGGGGGGGCTACAACCAGCTGCTCCATCTACTTCATGTCACCATCTAAAGCTCCTGAAGCTCCGCCCACTCAGTTGAAAGCTGGAAAGAGTCGGTACAGAAGGGGCCTTCTGTGCTGTGCAGCAAATTAAAATGCCGGCCCGATGCTGGCGAGGAAGTGTGTTTGGTTCCTCAGTACAGGGATGGAACTGGTGAGTTCACTGGCCACTGCCAAACACTCGACATGCTGATCAAAGAGCTGCTGGCTGGGGGTTCAGCTGAGGAGGGGAGCAGGAGGCGGCACAGAGAGAGAGATGTTTTCCCACAGAACCAAACAGCTGGGTTCTATTAGACTTGGGGTCAGTTCTGCTTTAGGAAAACTTATTAGGTGAGGAGAACCGAAGCTGAGCTGTCTTCTTTGTATTTCCCATCAGGAGTAACATTTTGAACAGAAAAAAGGGTTTGCATCCAATCTGCTGATAACAAATCAGAGCAACATAACTCTGGTTCTGATTAGTGTGTCTTCTGTGTTTTGGCGACTGCCTCAGTGTGCATCATCATCTAATTATTATAAATGCGAGAGTGCTCTACATATTTCACAGCGTTCACCACTGGGAAAAGCAGAGTCTCCCACCTTTCCATGTATCCTGACGGGGAGCCGTTGAGGCCGTCCAGCCTTTCCTGCAGCGCAGCCAGGATCTGTGGGTTCTGCATCATCTGCACAGTGAGTTGGCGAGCTGCAAGCAAACAGATTTAAAAAGAAAAAAAATTATACATGCATCTACTCTGTTGTTTTCAGGAGCACTGCCTGCTGTTGCCATTTTGAGTTCACTCAGAGCATGACGTTTTTGACAGGTTTAGGGAACCAAACGAGATCAAAACAAAAAACAAACTGCTGTTTGGGAGATGATGAAACTGTTCGTCAACACAACTGGCATAGACTAGAAAACAAAGCTGCTGGTTAAGTTCCCATCACCTCACTGCTCCAACAACCTGAAAGAGGGACTCTGGATTGTGTGTGTGTGTGTGTGTGTGTGTGTGTGTGTGTGTGTGTGTGTGTATAAGAGGGAGAGCATTCTAAGCTTGCAGATTACACGCAGAAGCAGTCTGAACTGGACGAGGCAGAAGCAGCGTTTCTCTCCACAGGAAGCAGCGCGTTGGGGGCATCAAAGGAAATGTATGAACATCGGCAACATCCAAAATAAAGAGGATTAGCGCGTCATGCTAGGTTTAAACAGAAGTACACGACTGCTACGCTGGCATTTTTTTTTTTTTTTAACATGGCAGTAATTCACTCCCAACACGAGAAGTAGGTTGTTGCGGTTGAAAGCCAACCTTTGCTGTTCTCGTCCTCTCCGGTCTCCTCCTCCTCCACATCCTCTACGTCCTCCATGTCTGCTGGGTCCATCTCAGCCTGGTCTTTGCTGCTCCGGGGGGAGAGAGACGGCGGTCAGCCAAAACACACACACTTCACAATCCTCCACTCCACAGAACACATTTCAGCAGGTAAACTGACAGTGCAGCGTCATCACGTGCAGAAACTAGCGATTATTTTAAAGGCTGATTAATTGATTATTCTAATTTTTATTTTAATAATTCTACAGATCCTTCATTTTCAAACAAATTTTTTATATATTAGACATGGATTAAAACATGCAAACAAATAATTAAAATCTTTTTTTGTCCTCCACCAAATGGCCTTTGCCTTTGTATATCAACAATTAATAATTACAAAATTTTTTGATTATTCCAATCACAATCATTTCAGCCCCCCCCCAAAAAAAAAAAAAAAAAAACGATTTCATATTTGTGTTGATAGTAGTTATTTCAATCGATTAATCTTTTCGGCCCTTTCAGAAAGTATTTTAGAATAACTGTAGTTGCTTCAATCGATTAGACGATTAATCGTTTCAGCCCGAGCGGAAACGATTCTAAAAATGAGTGATAATTCTGTTGCTTATCCTGCAGAGGGCAGCATGTTTTGAGCTCCAACACTTTGCTTCAAAACGGCTTAGCCCCTCTGCAGCCTGGGGTGAGAAATAATCAATCCCTGGTGTCAGGGAGACGGATATGTCCCAACGGTGACGGCTGACATTCGCCGAACAGCTCTCGGCTCTTGACAGATCACAGTCACCGTCGCTCAAATGTTAGAAAAAAAATAAAACCCTTATGTGTGGTGATAGCCAGCAGAACTGGTTGGCAACACTGCCCTCTAGAGGTGAAGTTATGCAGACCACACCGGAATCTAATGTCAGCAGGTGTTAAATGACCCCAAATAAATCAGGGGGGACATTTTGGGAGAAATTTGTCAAGGATAAAACTAAACTCATTCAGGCCAAAAGATGCTATAGTCAAGCTCGAATTTGGCAAGAAAACTCAGAGCTACAGTTAATCTAGTGCGAATATTAGGGAGATTTCATAAACAAATGATTTCCCATTCATATGCAAACACTTTCAAATTAACTTCAAATATAGCAGAATTGGTCATTAGTCATTATATGGTTGTGCTACATTTTCATACTTTTTTGTTTGAGGTGATGCATGTTTGCTTCTTTTAATTTATAACAAAATAAGCCAAAAGAACCTTCTGAAAAATAATGGATTAAAAAGCAAAGAGGGTCAAACGATGATCAACACTCACTTGTCGATGTCTGCCATCTTGACGATACTGCAGAGGGAAAAGAAAAACAATGTCAAGTGTTTTGCTAAAACATTTTATGCGTGATGAGGACGGCTATTTGTTGCATCATTTACTATGGAAAATTCCTTATAAGAATTATGATTTACCATTTCTCATGTTAAATTCCAGTCAGTGCCACTAAAGAACCTCCAACACTGTACTGCTGCAATTATTCATTTTATTGTTTGTTTGTTTTTTCTCGTTTGATCAATGAGGTCAATAAATTTTAAAGTATGATTAAATGTGTGTATTTTAATTATGCATAACTTTATTTTGTGACCAATGTCCGAACCAAGCAAATGGGAATGCTTTACGAGAACTATAACACTTGTTCTTGGGGCTATACTTACAAAGTCGTACATGTAGTTTTAAAAAATAAATAAATACAAAATTGGTGTCTTCACGAAAAACCTTATCGGTGCACATCTCTATTCAACTCTTATTAGATGCACGCAAACGATTGGCGGATGTACAGACTTCACCGTCAGATGACAGTCGCTGCAGAAATATGTTGTTAAAGAATATCTGCATGACAATCAGCGAGCATGAAGAAGAAGAAGCCTCGTTCAGGAGGATTAAATGGAGGCAGGAGTCGCAGTGCTTCCCACAGACAGGTTGCATGCAATGAAGAGATCAAAGTCTTTTCTTTCTGTTCAGAGAAAACCTGCCTGGAAATATCTGGAGTCTGTATGGATGCTGGAGAAATACTCAAGAATGCTCACTTTAATTCTAAATTATATTTTAGCCCGGAGGGCAAAAAAAAAAAAAAGTGTAAACAGTCAAGTTCCTTCCCACTCAACACAGATCCTGAGAACCATCAGTATGAGCCCATGTAACCAGAAAATTCTGCATAAGTCTCCATTTGTAGCTAATGCTCATGTCAGTATAAGATCCACGACTAGCATTAGCTTTCATTTACAGCATTACACATTTACTCGTTTCCCACTTGAGCTGGGAAGAATAGATTACCATACAGACAGAGATGGCACGGTTTGGCCTTCTTCCATCACATGGAGGACATCTTTGTTTTGATTAAGCTGTTTTAGCCTTCAGGATTAAAAAATAATTTAAAAAAAACAGTTGCTACAACAATGCTCTTACCACAACAAGCAAACCACGTTCTGGGTTTGACCAAATCTGTAAATGAAATGTCACAAGCCTGATTTCAGAGTCCACATCCCAAGACCTGCAGCTGAAGCAAGATGCAGTCACAGGTTTTTATTTTAAAGATGCACTTGGTCCCCAAGTGTGTGGGTTTGAGCGTGTAAAAAAAGAAAGTTGAGTGGAAGGAAGAAGTAAAGTAGAAAACAAAAGGTCTCACAAGCATCCTCAAAAGGACTGTCAATCCCATATAAGATTATCAAGACTTGAAATCCCACCAAATACCAATTTAACCATCTCATGGAGAAAAACTGACATTTATTGCTCAGTGGTTCACTCAGGGTGAGTTAAATGTGGCCTTTCATTAGGGCAGCAAGATGCAGGGAGAGGCACAGAACCAGTGATTTGAAGAATAATTTTAAGTATCTCCACTGATTAATCTGGCAGCCATGTCATCTGCTGGTGTCCACATGTTTTGTTTTTTTGTCCTGTAAATAAATGAACAGTAAATTCCTGGACAGTATAATGACATTTATTTGAAAAATTAAAAAAAACTAGATGTGAGCAATCAGATCCCCCCCAGACACTCTTCATCTTGACTTTTCATTCACGGTAAGCCAAAATCATCCTAATGTACTTTAAATGTACCCTTCCATGTATACGTGTATGTAATGTGACATGTGCCCAAGTGCTATATTAAAAAGTAGGGTTTTTTTAAAGAATTATGTCAACATTATGTCAGAACGAGCCACAGTGGTTTAGCATTTCAAAATTGAACAAATCTAATCAAAAACTAAAAAATTTAAATGTTTGGTTAGAAAGATCCATCAATCTATCATCATCCGGTTAATCCAGGGATCGGGTCTCCGAGGCAGCAGAGGCCCTCCTGGCCCAGCTCCTCCCGTGGAACCCCGGTGCGCCAGAAAGATGTTCAGGGACAGAACCGCAGCAGCGGATTGCTGGGCCCAACTTTTCTTTTGTGGAGAGCCGTTCTCCTCCTAATCCCGGCCACGACCACGTGTTGCACGCTGAGGTCTGCCAGACCATAAGTCTGAGCCCGGATGGGAGGCTGCGCGTGTCAACATTTAGACTTAAAGGGAATAAAATGAAAAAAAAATCCTCCAAAAACGCACGAGTCACCCTATAAATGCAGGTCGGTGTTTAGCTCCGGTGTGTTACCCGGTGGAACTTCAGCCGGGCCTCCCGCTTCTGCCGCCGAGCAGCTCCACTAATTCAGGCTAGTTAAGCTAGCTTCTATGCTGCTAGCTTGATGCGGACCACTCAGCCCGAAACAAGTGGGAGGAACATCTCAGTCAGACGGGCAGGCAGGCTGTCCCGGCTACATAATGTGGTCCAGTTACTAAGCGTCCTCTATATCACGTTTTAACCCCCTTTGTCTTACGCAAGACTCCCGGCGGCCGTCGCGTGCGCTCAGTTCCTCGCGACCCACCCGGAGTATCACAGACCCAAAACATAACGTTAACTCCGAAAACACAAGAACCCTAAACACGTGTCAACAAACGCTATAAACGTCGAAGCTTACAGCAGTCACCCAAACGTGTTGTCTTGTTGAGGAACAACTGGTTAAAGCATTCCGGTGAAACAAAGAGAGACGGAGAACCGTTGTTTTATTCCTCTACTGGCGTATAACGTTATCGCATCATGGAGGCGCCTGTCTCAATGGCTGCTGCCGCTATCTCGTCCTGACTAGCATTAGCAAAGCGGTAAACGTCTCCCTGGCGTCGTTTTCGCCAGCTGACTGAAAACCGAACTCTGCAGGCAACGCGAAAGTTTGGGGCGTCGGCGTCCGAGCCCTTCCCAGGCGCTGTCGCTTACCTTCGCTCTGCGGCCGGAGGATGAACGGGTCGAGCGGCGCTGCGCAGTTAGGTAGTCTGAAGAAAGAGACTCCGCTCCGATGGCGGTAAAAGGGAGAGAGATCCCGCCGCCCGCGCTCATATACATCCGACGTCATCACGTAAACCCGCTGTCGCCGAGGCAACGCTGCTCATGGGAGGGCCGAGGCTGAAGATTCGTCGTCAAAAACCAGCATCCTCCATATCGACATATTAATGATGCTGATGTGAAAACACAAAACCTTGCTTATTGCTCTTCTTCAGCGTTTTTTTTATTATTATTTATTTCAGCATTTCTTTTTCCATCAATACATCAGAACGTGATTGTGCGGACCGGAAGTGTCCACATCCCTTCAATCTTTTTCATATTTTGTCATGTTTTAAGCACATACTCCAATGCACTGAACCATATGATCACGGTGCAACCAATCCCCTTCAGGATTCCTCTGATTGACTGATGGGCTCCACCTGTTTGGACCATATATCCAGCTGTTGTATGAAGGCCTCAAAGGTTTGTTGTTAGAGAAGAAGCACCGCTGGTGGTGGCAAAAAATATTCCAACCTATATCTCATGCAGGAAGTTATGATTTAAGGTATTTATGGCTCGCTGCCCATGCTGTTCTGGAACCTGACCTGCAGAGCGAATCAGTCACAACCCAGCATCGGTTGATTTATTTCAACAAAATAACTATCTGTCCACAAATCTGGGCTTTATGTGGTGGAGGTGGGAAAGGTACCCAAAAAAAAAACACCATACAAAGCATTATATTTAGTTTTATAGTCTTAGTCATATAGAGGATGTTGCAAGCATATAAAAATGTGTTTTCCTGAGATAAAATTGAATCCTACAAAGAAATACGGTGGCGGCGGCATTATGCTGTGGGGTAGGCTGAGATCCTGCTCCGAACTGATGGGAAGATAGTCTGCAAAAAAAAAAAAAATGTAAAGAAACACTGGTAGAAAAACTTCTGTTTATTAAGAGTCATACTTTCCAGTAGAATCACCACCAATAATTTAGTTTCAGCATAAACTACTTTTATGTAGATGAACTTTTCAAAACAGGAAATGACAGGACTGTTTAATCTGCCACAAGCCCTGCGCACAGGAAGCATATTCAGCCACTCGCAGTCTGAGAATTCATTCAAAATAACCGCAATATTTCACTTAGTGGTTATTTTCAATTTAGATTCTCATCTGGTTTCCGTTTGAAAAAAGTTTTTTTTTTAAAAACCAAAACTGTGGTGCAACTCAATGAGAGTTTCTGGTCAATGCATCATTCAGCAGATTCTTGTTTCTTGTATGACACCTTATCAACGTCAAACATCTTTACACGGCTAAAGACGAAAGTCAAAACATTTTTAACGCGTTACATTTTTTTCCCCTAATATTCCAAATAGTTTTCTGTCTTCTTCAGCTTTTTAAATTAACTCAGTATTTAAACTATATTCCTAGCAAGGATTACAGTTGTGTCACTTTTCGTCTCTCTAAGTTCATCTTGATGAGGAAATATTTCTGTCGTCATTCTTTCACAGTTGACTGACCTTCCATCACCGTGGCGACTTCTGTTGCTCCCAGATGATAAAATGAGCAAATCTAAAATCTGATTTGATCATACTGGGATAAACTCATTGTGTTAGTTTTTATGAACTGACCCAAGCAGTCGCCCTGTTAAAATTCTTTTTTCCAGATTTTTCGACATGCTCTGACACCGCTTCCATCTTGTTTGCGATTAAAATGTGGGACTTTTATCTATTTCTTTCCATGCATACCAATCAACATGTATACATCACGTAAATATGCCAGATTTGGCCAAAAAGGCTACTTTTCATCTGTAGTGCTCCAGCGGGTTGTTTGCTTGGTGAAACCTGTAAAAACAACACGACTCAGAGAACCAAGAATTTCACTGAATAGATCTGACTTACACATCCTCACCGATACCCGATCTAGAATTTGTTCATTATCGGGACCGACACAGACAATAATATCGGATCGGTGCATGTCTAGTTTGCCATCCATTTTTTATAGAATGCATTGAAGCCGTTTAAGGCTTTGTGTTTATAATGTAATTAACGTACCAACTTGCAGTCTGTTCACTGTTTACGCCAAACGACTCTTAACCTGAGATTTAGCCGAACACAGCCAGAAGGCAAGACTGTGAGAATTTGTGAGTGATTCATCCACAGTCTTCCTCTGAGCAATATCTGGCACGAGCCCGACGCTCCGTTTTTAGGTCGCTTTTGCTCAGGAGAAACACTTCCCACGATCTATCTGTGTCAGACCGCAGATCTCCGTGACTCATCATCAGCTGAGCTCCGGAGGAGACGGCGGTCGGTGGGCCAAAACCCCAAGAGGACCGGCTCTGCATCGGGGCGCCAATCGTCTTGGGCTCCGTAAGACGACTGCCGGGTAAAATCACCAGCAAGAAATGTGAGGGTACAGCATGGAGATGTGCAAAGGAAGCCAAAATATGTTTCAACATACAAAACCACTTTCCCCATTTTAACATCACACTTAGTTACACTGAAACTTTGCTTCAGGAAAGTCGTCAAGTCCAATTCACCTCTGACATCACAACTTAGAATAATTATAAAGAAGCAGACACATTTTGTAGCACAATCACAAAACCATTTATTGCCTTCACTTATAATAAAAATGTTCTATAGCTCTAGTATGACTTTGGGCCTTTGTCTCTTTCAATAATAGTGATAAGAGTTTTCTATTTTTAAAAAAACTAAACAGAAATTAAAACATTTGTGCATCAGGACCAGTAATAATGAGATAAGTGTATAAAACTATGAAATATGATCTGAGTAATTGTGCAATAGAAATTGACCTTTTTGATGTGTAAAGCCTATTTGTTAAAAATATGAGGAAAACTCAAAACATTGTGAGTTTTTGCAAAATGTGCGTCTCTTTGCGTATCCAATGTATTGTTGGTAGTGAAAAAGTGTTAGATATCGGCCAGGGTAGTTTTTATCAAAAAGCATCCAACCGTCAGTCTTCATGTGAATTTAACACAATCGTAATGAAAGTGTCATTTTAAGGACGCTTCCGCTCTTTAATCTCGACACCGGACAGTGCATTAGTTCTTATTTAATGCATCATTAGGTAAAGCAAAACCCCCCCCCAAAAAAAACCTCGCAGTTAAAAATGTTCAAAGTTGCAGATCTCCCTCCATCATCAATAATGCAGAGAGATTGTAAAACTTTAATTTTCAACCTGAATGCATTCGAGGTAACTATCCGATATGCGCGCTCCCCTTCACGAACAGCCAGGCCTTCGCCTCTTATGTGTGCAAACAATAGGAGAGTTATTTATATACCACGACTTGAGAGCTCTAGTGAACTGCCATTAAAAGGGTGACAGTGGATCCTGGGGAGAGAGAAAGACAGAGGTACAGCTCAGGGAGAGCAGTGACATTCTTCTAACATTTACCGACCCGACTAATTAACAGAAGCAAGTGTGTGTTTTTATTCTAGCTTGGCAGATTCTAATTTATTTCTTCGTCGCCGTAAGAGTGCGGCCGTTCTGAAAACACCCGACACATTCTTTTGTAAAGTTTTGTCCTGCTTCGCCAGCACGACTCCCAACGCACTTGCTGGTCACCGCTTTGGCTTTGAAGGCTTAATGAAAAGCTTTCCTCCAAATGTGAAGCACCTGGATCTACAAACCAAATGCTGATGGTGTTATATGGAGAGGAACTGAGAGTCCAATAAACAGATAGTGTGAAAAACCAACTAATCTTACCAAGTATTTTTGGTCTAGCGCCTAGTGCAAATATCTTAGAACATTTGAAATAAGACAAAACTAACTTACACAAAACTTTTCAGCAAGATATAGCAGCTTGTTTTAAAAATAATTCCTGAATATTTATGAAAAAGTGCTTGTTTGACTGGTAGACTGGCACCTACAGCGGGTTCTCTTGGTTCTGGACTGGGTAGACCGTCCTAAAATGTCTCTACTTTTGCGAGTTTTGGGTTCCAGCTAACTGGCATTTCAAAGTGCTCATAATGTTATTGACCAGACAGATGATAACTTCCTTGATAACGTCAGAGCAAACATAATTCCAGACCATGATGGTGCCACCACCACCTCTCACTCTGGGATGTTCAGTGTTGTCCACTCATCAGACAAACCTTTGGGTGTTGAGGCCCAAATGCTGGTCCTATGTACAGACTGAGTGTTGCACTCTAAATCAATGAATTCAAATGAACACAGGTGTGTAAAATTAAGCATCAGGGTATAAAGACTGGTCCCATAAGCTTTTATGATACCATGATTGAACGCCAACCAAACAAAGTCATGACAAATTCCATCTTGATTAGCTCATGTAATTATTAGAGAAAACTAAATGTTGGTCTTTGGAAAGAAAACTGTGCAAGAAGGACAAGTACGACACGAGGAGAAACTAGCAAACGAGCGTTCAAATGATGCTGCTCACTGTCGGGTCAGTTGGATTCGCTAGTTTTAGACTGAATCAGCAATTGTGTCACCACCAGAGCTCAACGATAGCGACCCTCTCCATTCAATACTCAGAAACACACACACTGTGGAACCTCATCAGAACAAACGCCGGCTTGCTTTCCAAGGGCACCTGGTAGAGCGGTGCAGAAAAGCATGGCTGTGGCCATCAGACTGCAAATTACAGCAGAAATCCTCCCCACCGCACGGCGAGGCTCCCTAATGGGCTGTTTAACGAGACCATCAAATGCAAATGGGAGTTTAGTTGTGACTCTCAAGAGCCCCGGCTAGGCATTTGTCTCCGGCGCGTGTGTGGGTGAATATTCCACCTCTGCAATTTTCCATTCAAGAAGTAGACGTAACACTTGGCTCAGGGTGAACGCTTGCGGGAAGTGCAGACTATTGTTGCTGCACAATGATAAGAGGTGTCAATTCTGTGAAAACAGTAGGAGTAAACGTGCAACTTGACAAAGCTGTTAGACTTAGACGGAAGAAATAAGCAAGGTGAGATACCACAGATGAAAGAAAGAATTGATGGACACCTGGTAGAACTGTGTGAATCTATTTCTATTGCTCTGTTTTGGATACATTTGCTGAATTTTCTACATTCTTTCTTTGGATAGAACTCTG